TGACTTAAGAATGTCACAGCTGGGAAGTCCCTTGTTATTGTTCAGTTGCTAAGTTGCATCCGACTCTTTGTGATCCCATGAACTGCAGCACGCCAGGCTTCCCTGTCCATCACCAACTCCCGGGGCTTGCTCAAACTCATGTCCATCAAGTCGGTGATGCCATCCAACCCTCTCATCCTCTGCCACCCCCTTCTTCTCTTGCCCTCAATCTTTTCCAGCATCAGGGCTTTTCCAATGAGTCTGCTCTTTGCATCAGGTGGCCAAAGTACTGGAGCTTCAGCATCAGTCCTTCCAATGAATATTCAAGGTTGATTTCCTTTAGGATTGATTGGTTTGATCTCCTTGCTGTCCAAGGGACTCAAGAGTCTTATCCAGAGCCACATTTTGAAAGCATTAATTCTTCAGCACTCAGCTTTCCTTATGGTCCAACTCTCTCATCTGTAGATGACTCCTGAAAAAACCATAGCTTTGACTGTAGGGACCTTTGTCAGTAAGTGATGTCTCTGCTTTTTAATATCTAGGTTTGTCATAGCTTTTCTTCCAAGGAGCAAGAGTCAGCAGTGATTTTGGAGCTCAAGAAAATAAAATCTGTCACTGTTTCCACTTTTCCCCAATCTGTTTGCCATAAAGTGATGGGACTAGATGCCATGATCTTAGTTTTTTGAATGTTGAATTTTAAGCCAGCTTTTTTCTCCTCTTTTGCCTTCAATAAGAAGCCCGTCAGTTCCTCTTCATATTATGCCATTAGAGTGGCATCATCTGCATAACTGAGGTTGTTGATAGTTCTTCCAGCAATCCTGATGCTGGCTTGTGAATCATCCAGCCTAAACAGTACCTTAGAGACTACCTAACTCAGCATTATTACAACTGGTGGTCTGTGGGCTGAATTCAGCCTAGGGGTATGTCTTATTTATCCAGAAATTTTTTTTTAAGGGATTTGAAATTCTTTTAGAAAATGCATTCCATACATCTTTGCTGATTCTACCTACCCTGTTATCTTATACTCAGCCCACCTCACACACTTACATTATTTGTCTGATCCCTGTAGGCATTTAATTTTACAACCTAGACCTAGCCCAACTTTGTCAGCTTCCCATGGGGGAAATTAGTCAAGGTCATTATTTTCCTAACTCAACCAGCTGGTTACTGGTAGAGTCATGTAGTGATGAGATGAAAAGCACATTTTAACAGGATTAAGTCTGTTCACCACCAGCATCACTGTAATCACCATTTTTATTACACTAGCATCAAGTTTTCCTAAAAATTAAATCTATCACACCATTGTGCTCAGTGAGTGATCAGTGTCTGGGGGCAGGTCCTCTCTTTGTGCAGAAGAAAGTGCTATGGGTGAAGGTTTATCAGTGAGGTTTCAGGCAGTGGATTTGTGGGAGGCTCAGTGGGAGAGATTCTTTCTAGAATTGAGCATGGCCAGCAGGGTGGGACCATCTCCAGCTGCTATACTCTGCCGCTGCCCTGCAGTGTTCCAGAACCTGTAAGGTAGGCAAAAAGGAGGAAGCTTGGGTCAGTTCTAGTGAGTGTAGCATCTGTCTCGGAGGAGACAGGCAACTCTAATGTGAAGACAGAGGTGAGATCTGTCATGGAGACACAAAAACCTGTAGAGATGCAATGGGGGATGCAGCCTGGCCTAGTGGAAAAGTGGCACTAATGTGCCCCAGCCATGGCTACCTACTCTACCTGGAGGCTAAGAACATTTACACCCATCACAGTAGTGATAGTGATAAAGGTGAAATCATTAAGGACTGTATTAGTCCAGACTTTTTCCATTGCAAAGGACGGAATCCTATTCCAAAATGCCTTAAGCACATTACTGACAAGTCTGGTGTGAGTCAGGGACAGCAAGATCCAGGGTCTCAAGCAAAGGCATTGAAGCTTCGTCTGTGTCTATCTCCTCTCTCTCTCTTTTCTCTCTGTGTTTCTGTGATACCTCCATGGGCCAGACAACCTATACACCTGGTGACAAGAGGGCTGCCTGCAACCCTCAGCTTACATTCTTCCAGACAAAAATCCCCAAGAAAAGCCTTCCTTCGTATTTTTTTTGGCAGAAGTCCAGAACCCAGTCTCAGACTCAGCTTGAGTTGTTCTCCCATCCCTGAAGCAATTATGGCAGCCCAGCAGGTGATATACTCTGGCTGATCAAGCCGAGTCATGTCCCCACCCCTGGTGCTGGGGGTGAGGCAATTAAGTGAGCTGAGAGTTGAGGGGAAGTGAATGTCCAAAATAAAATCAAGGTAGGGTTCCCACAGAAGCAAGGAATGGATGCCGGGCAGACAGACAGAAGGAAATGAAGTACCAATGTGTGCTGCAATGTGAACCAAAAGAACCAAACTGAAGTCACTCAGTCGTGTCCGACTTTTTGCGGCCCCATGGACGGTAGCCCACCAGGCTCCTCCGTCCATGGGATTTTCCAGGCAAGAGTACTGGAGTGGGTTGCCATTTCCTTCTCCAGGAGATCTTCCCGACCCAGGAATCGAACCCAGGTCTCCCACATTATAGGCAGATGCTTTACCGTCTGAGCCACCAGGGAAATCCTGCAATGTGAAGGAACCTTGAAAACACGATAATAGGTGGAAGAGGCCACACCTTGTGTGATTCCATCTCTATGAAATATCCAGAATAGGTAAATCCATAGGTGGATGGCCAGGATCTGGTGGGAAGGGGAATAGGAAGTAACTTCTGATGAGGATGGGGGTTTCCTTTGAGGGTGATGAACTATTTTGAAACGAGGTAAAGATGACAATTGCAGATGTCTAGTGCTGTTGAACTGTATGCTTTTCAATGGTTGATTTTATGTTGTATGAGCTGGAAAAGCAGCAAGATCCCTGAGTGAGAAAACTTGTAAATTATAAGCTCCCAAGGAGACAACCAGCTTCCGAGCAGCAGGGATCATCTCTGCTTCTCCTTGCCTTCCACCAGGGCCAGCCCATGCCTGGCACATAGTAGGTGTGAAATTAATGCTAAATGTAAATGAACTGAGAGTTTGGGCCAGAAGTCTTGGCCATAGCTCTGCCCGCCCTCCCAACAGCTCCATCCACCTGACAACTTCTTTGACCTTTGATTTCTGTGTCTGTAAATTAGGGAATGCCGATTTGCCTTGCCTGCCTCACAGAATCCTGTGTGTGTGTGTGTGCTTGTGTCCTAGAGGAGTTATTAATCTGAGGTTCATGGATAGAATGTAGGGGCTTGTGACTTTGAATAGGAAGAAAATGATTCTTTTTTTTTTTTAAATCATGCTGTGTCTTTTTTGCTCCGTGGGCTTTCTAGTTTCAGCGAGTGGGGGCTGCTCTCTAGTTGGCGGTGCACAGGCTTCAGTAGTTGCAGCTCGTGGGCTCAGTAGTTGCGGCTTCCAGGCTCTAGAGCACAAGCTCCGTAGTTGTGGGGCACAGGCTTAGTTGCTCCACGACATGTGGGATCTTCCCAGATCAGGGACTGAACCCGTGTCTCCTGTATTGGCAGGCAGATGCCTTACCACTGGACCATCAGGGAAGCCCAGGAAGAAAATGACCTTAATTTTCACTAAACGCTAATTGAAATCCAGCTAAATGTGGGATAACAAACCGTTATAGTATTAGCAGTTGCTGTTGGAATCATATAGTTCCTTTTTTTTGTTCATTCTCCCTGTTGTGTCCCCGACAAGTGATTGCACTCGTGACCCTTGCATTGTAAGTTCAGAGTCTTAACCACTGGACTGCCAGAGAAGTCCTAGGAATCACATATTTTCAAATTATATTATAGTTGATGCATCCATGTCTAAATATCATTTATGCTCACCTCTTCTTCAAAATTACAGTAGTGTTTAGACCTACTACAAGATCTTGTTAGTAAATGTGTTAAAAAGAAAACATATGTAATTATCATAAATTTGGTGTTTTTAAAAATATTTTGCAATCCTCTGTATAGTGTGTGAATCAAGAATCATGTGAATTACTATGCCATCACTTTGGTATTTATGGACATATTTTGTGACCCTGTGTATTTTTGTTGCATTTAAAAGCATTATTCTGCAATGGGATAGATTTAAGAGTATAGGATTAACAGATAGTTATATGTAAAATAGATGAACAACAAAGATTTACTATATAGCACAGGAAACTATATTCAATATCTTTCAGTAGCCTATAAAGGAAAAGAATCTGAAATATATGTATGTGTGTGTGTGTATATATGTATGTGTATGTACATACACTAAATCACTTTGCTATACGCCTGAAACTAACACTGTATTGTAAGTGAATATACTTAGTTTACTGATTAATTAATTTTAAAAAATAAATTTAAAAATAAAAGCATTGTTCTGAGATGAGGGTCTATAGCTGTATTCACCAAATTCCAATGCATCTGTGGCATGAAATGGTGATTTCAGAAGTTCTCTAAAGAGGAAGCGGATGTAGCAGATGATCATTGCCATCTAACTGTGCTGGGCAGGCAAGTGTCCTAAGCTCCTTAAGCCTCAGTGTCTTAATCTATAAAATGGGCATAATAATAGTACCTGCCTCATAGGGTTACCAGAGAAGGCAATGGCAGCCCACTCCAGTACTCTTGCCTGGAGAATCCCATGGACAGAGGAACCTGGTGGGCTGCAGTCCCTGGGGTCGCTAAGAGTCAGACACGACTGAGCAACTTCACTTTCACTTTTCACTTTCATGCATTGGAGAAGCAACCCACTCCAGTGTTCTTGCCTGGAGAATCCCAGGGACGGGGGAGCCTGGTGGGCTGCTGTCTATGGGGTCGCACAGAGTCAGCCATGACTGAAGCGACTTAGCAGCAGCAGCAGCAGCGTAGGGTTACAGAGACCAGCCTCACTTGTGAAGATCAAATGAGAAACTACGCACAGATCCCCCAGCTCAGCACTGAGCATGTAGTAAGTGCTCAAAAAATGGCTTTATGGCCAAGACATTCCCTGACAGACAGTAGTTTTGACCATTTCTTTTGGCCTCTGGGTTGAGCTCTTTCATGCCTAAACATGATTTTGTCTTGTGCAGATTCATCCGGAAACAGGGTCTGGACCGGCTCTTCCTGGAGTGTGACGCCCACATGTGGCGCCTGGGGGACCGGCGGATCCCAGAGGGCATTGCTGTGGATGGGGGCTCAGACTGGTTCCTGCTAAACCGGAAGTTTGTAGAGTATGTGACGTTCTCCACTGACGATCTGGTGACCAAAATGAAGCAATTCTACTCCTATACTCTGCTGCCTGCCGAGGTGAGTATCTGGGGAAGAATCCCTGAGAAAGGTAGGGTCAGGCTCTAGCCTTTGGAGCAAAGTGGATGCTGAATTTTTGGTGAATTTTGGCATCAATACATTGTTCTCCAAACATCCAGAGGAAGATGGGGAACTGTACCAGCTATCAGGGACCTTACTCTCACAGTAGGGCCCCTGGTCCCAACCACTCTGGATGGAGATCATTGTATGGAATAGATGCACAATGCTGCCACCAGCAATCTATACAGTGTCTTTAAAAGTGTAAAGTAAAAAGGGCAGTTCTTCCTCAAGACACTTGGCTCCCATCAGTCATAAAATCATCACAATATTTTTGTTAGAACAACTTTATTGCCATTTTCTAAAAAATTGCTATTGAAAAAAATGCAAAGCTGTCATACCTACAATGCCGATGGTACCCACAGAGTTGTGCAGTGCATAACCTGCACAACTATATATGCTGGCTTCTTTAGAGACACCCATACCGACTTTTGACAGCTCCTCCACAGTCACCAATCCAGTAACAACTTTTCCACACCAAAAATTCCTTTTGTAATTTTAAACAGTGTTCTGTCATTCCCTGACAAACAGTAGTTTTGGCCTCATCAGTCACACCAGAAATTCCAGTGATCGCCAAACCAGGGCTACTGTTGGGTTTGCTCTACCTCCTGCATTGACAGCCACTGTGGCCAAATGCTTAGGACTCAACATTTCTTGTTGGCTTTTGCAACTATTTGAAAAGCTCTCAGAAGTCTGTCACCACGTCTCAGATCTCAGGATAGCAAACTGTCTTAGTTCAGGGTGCCAGAACAAGATACAATAGAATGATGGTACTTCTTATAGTTTTGGAGGCTAGAAGTCATAGGTCAATGTGCCAGGGTGGTCAGGTGATCTCTCTCTTCTGGGTAGCAAACTGCTTATTGACATTTCTCATTGTCACATGGCAGAAGGGGTAGGGAAGGGCACTAATCCCATTTGTGTGGACCCCACCCTCATGACAGTCACTTCCCAAAGGCCCTACCTCCTAACACCATCACATGGGGGTTAGGATTTCAACCTATGAATTTAGTGGGTATGCAAACATTCAGTCCATTTCAAAAAGTCCTGTGTGTAAGATTGCAGGCTATTCTGAAACAGCCCAAGCCCCATCTGGAAATGGGTGGGACTCAGTGCTATGATGTTGCTCCTGACAACAGCCAGCAGCCTTCTTATCAGACCTGGGCAGAGAGATTTTAGATTAGTTCCCTGACCTCTAGTTCACTTTCACCCTAATCTCTAACTTCAGAAAACTCCAGAGCTGGCTCGGTTTCTATTGAGCCTGCGACACCTCCCATCAATGGCTCACCAGTCCTGGCTGTGCCCCATCTCTGGGCCGCTCAGGTTCTGTGTTTCTAGGCCAAACAAGACAATGCATCTCATTTGATGGTTTCCACATCCCTCCCCAACATCTGGTGCAGGGCTAAGCTCTGAGTAGGACTGACTGCTGACATACTCCTAAGGGATGATGGGCTTGTCATCACTGGGTCAGGTTTTGCTATTCTGTATACATGTTAAGTCATCAGCTTTTAATCCTATTTCAGTGAAAATCACTTTTTCTCTCAATTCCAATAACCTCCTCATCCATTATCTTTTCTGTATCATTATAAAAGGACACAGGACAATTGATAATCGGGTACCTACCCCACTGCTTGATGGAGAATATGTGCCTGTTTGGACTTTTAGACAATTCAAACTTAAAATGCAGGTTCACAGACATGTCATTTAGCATCACAAGAAGGTCAGCTGGCTGGTGTGGATAGAGCCTCATTTTATCCACTCAGCCATTGAGAAGAGACTGTTTTGGACTTTGTTTGATTTAATCAAGGTGTGCATCCCAATGCTGGCTCTCTCTGTCCCACCCACCCGACCCCCTACCCCCCAATGCACCCAGGCACTTTACATTCCAATGTCTCTACTAGATCCCACCTCCTCCATCCCAGCATTTCTGCCCTGCCCTTTTCCCAAACCACCTCTAGGGGATGATTTTAGAAGAAATCTGAGGGATGTGCCATGAGTTTGCCAACAGGCAGACATGTATTCCCCAATAGTTTCCCCTAGGAAGCAGAGAGCAGGGGAAAGTATATCACCCTGGTATCTGAGGTTGTTATAAAACAGTGTCCAAATAGAAGTCAGTGTGTGTCTTTCTCTCCCCATCTCTCTCTCTTTCAGCAGCTCCAAACATATGTCTCTGCTCTGGTCTCTCTTTTCACTCTCAACATTGCCTTTTTCTCAAGATTCCTAGGAGAGGTTGGCCAAGAGTCTCAGGAATAGGGAGAAATTATGGTGTCTGGTTCAGCACCATGGACAGCGGGACGCCCCAGCACACCCCACCTCCTTCCCTCCCTGTGTTGTATGTGACTGGGGCAGGAGGGCGTCCATGATTCTGGCCTCCCTCTCCAAGGAGTGAAATTCCAGGGCTTCAGTCTTTGTTCCAAGATATCTCAGACTGAATCCCTTTGGTTTCAGGTCTAGCCATTTGTAAAATCAAGAGTCCCTTGGCCCAAGATTTTCTAGAAAATTGTCCCGATGTTTTCCTCTGGTCCTCATATGTTGACATACCTTGTGCTGTGCTTAGTCACTCAGTTGTGTCCAGCTCTTTGCGACCCTGTGGACTGTAGCCTGCCAGGCTCCTCTGTCCATGGGGATTCTCCAGGCAAGAATACTGGAGTGGGTTGCCACGCCCTCCTCCAGGGGATCCTCCCAACCCAGGGATTGAACCCAGATCTCCTGCATTGCAGGCAGACTCTTTACCATCTGAGCCACCAGGAAAATCCAAGAATATTGGAGTGGGCAGCCTGTCCCTTCTGCAGGGGATCGTCCCAACCCAGAAATTGAACCAGGTCTCCTGCATGGCAGGTGGATTCTCTACCAGATGAGCTGCCAGGGGAACCCTTACGGGACTTTTTCCTCTCTGCTGAACAGACAGAGGATGTACTGGCTCATAAGAGATGCTTGAAATCAGCTTCTAGGCTTCTGGGGAGAGGCATCTTAGAGAAACTCTCAGAGCAGTAACTGCTAAGCAGAATGTCACTCTGGACAAAACTTCTAGAGTGCTCTGGCTTGGCCTGAATGGGACCATTTGCCGACAGAACAGCTGAGTCTGCAAGAGAGTCCCTTCACTGTCAGGTGGCCCCTGGGAAGGACCCCCACCCCAGCCCATTCACAGGAGGCTGGGTGAGGTCTCAAGCCAGGCCCTTCTCTCCCCCGCAGTCCTTCTTCCACACGGTCCTGGAGAACAGCCCCCACTGTGACACCATGGTAGACAACAACCTGCGCATCACCAACTGGAACCGCAAGCTGGGCTGCAAGTGCCAGTACAAGCACATCGTGGACTGGTGCGGCTGCTCCCCCAATGACTTCAAACCGCAGGATTTCCACCGCTTCCAGGTGAGCCGCCCACCCAGCCCACCTGCCCTTGCCTTCCAGCCAGCATCTGCAGGTGTCCAAGGCAGCCCTGCAGGTCATCACATCCCACACACTCCAACCCTGGCTATTGATGACAATCATAACAACATCCCTGATAGCCAGCACTTGTTGATCACTAACACCATGCAAGGGACCTTCTAACCACAGGCCAAGTGGTTATGATTATCATTAATCCCACAATAGCCTTAGAAGATAGACACAGAGACAATTATTGTTCCATTTTAGAGATAGGGAAACTGAGGTAGAGAAAGATCAAAAACTTTATGCAAGGCTACATAGCCCAACACATCTGTTTTCAAAGGCTATACTTGCATCCATGTCTCTATGCTGCCTTTTGATTAGAATCTCCTGAAATATTTGTTTAAAATACATTTCCGGGTACAGACTTGGTTGGAGGGCAGAGTTTCTCAACCTCAGCACCCTTGACATTGTGGCTGGATAATTCTGTGTTAGTGTGGAGGGATGTAGGATGTTTAAGCAGCATCCCTGGCCTCCACCCGCTAGATTCCAGCAGCACCCCATCCTCCACTGTGACAACCAGGATGTCGCTGTTTAATGTCCCCGTGGGGATCCAGTAGCACCCTGCAGACATGACAACTAGGAATGTCTTCAGATATCACCAGATATCCACTGGGGGCAAACACATCCCCAGTCGAGAGCTTCTGATCTCCAGTGAGGCTCAGGAATTTTTACTTTTAATGTAGCAGACTTTGGGAAGTTCTGATGAGCAGCCAGGTTTGTAAACCACTGTGCTCTGTGAACTTAAAGGAGTAACAAGAAGAAAGGTTCTTGCCATCACAGGTATCCCTGCAGGGCCCAGCAGTTCATGCTCTGGGGAGAGGAGAGGCAGGAGGGTGGCCAGTGTCCATCTGCTTCCCATGAGCCCCAAGGGTGCCTTGGACCCCAGACCTGTTCAGGATGGCAGCCTCTTTCCATCCCACGTGAGCACGCCTCCTGCTCCCTCCAGGCCAGCACCCTGAATTCCTCCTCTTCTCCTCCTCACCATGCTCAGCCTCAGCTGCCCAGAGCAGATACAGAAGGCTACACATTCACAGGTCACTCTGAGGTCACTAGAGCTACCACGTGGAGATGATATGCTGCTCCCCAAACCACTAACTAGGGGTGATGGAGGATGTTAAGGGCGAGGACAACAGTGCCAGGCTAATAACCCAATCCAAAGTGTCCCTACTACCTCGCTCTGGCACACAACTGAACCATCCAGGGGAGCACCCAGACTGCCCCCATGGAGCTTCCAGCCTCTTAGCCCGGCTCCTCGGAGTGCGGTCTGTAGAACAGTAGCAGCAGCATCACCAGGGAGCTTGTTAGAGATGCAGAATCTCTGCTGCTCCTGGCCTGCTGAGTCAGAATCTGCATTTTAACAAGATCCCCAGGCAACAGGGAGGCTGTTCTGTCTGTGAAGCATGGGGTTGGGGTCTTCTGTGTGCCAGGTTCTCTGCAGGCGTTGGCTTCACTGGGTAGAAATCATCTCCATTGTGTAGGTGGGGAAACCAAGGCACAGAGGGGGGACTTACTTGTCCATGGACACGCAGTAGTGGAGTGGTACAGTGGGTGGTCCCACGCGGGTGTTTCCAGGTCCAGACCTGAGCTTTTTCCACCAGACCTTGCTGCCAACCTGATTCCACACCTGGTGGAATGCGGAATACACAGCGGGTTTTGTCCCATCATTCATATTCCCTCAAGATTCCCACCTAACGCCTTTCACCCATGTAAGCAGTTGCTGCAATGAGTATTCTTTAGGCCTGTGTTTGGTGGCAGACTGAAAGCTACCCATGGGGCCTCCTCAAACCCATGTTAATTGAGGTTGGGTGAACTTGGGTGACATTTTAGCTCCATTGCCTGTGCATAAAGGGTCTGCTGAGCAGACAGGGGTGGCAAGGGGAATATTTGACCCGTTCAAAGGGGGATAAAAGAAACAGAACAATTCCCACTTTTGTAGAGGATCAGCTTTCACCCTCGTTGCAAAGGGCCTTCATCATTTAGAGCAAGGAGATGGCACAATTCTTGGGTGCACTGCCTCTCTTGGGCCACTCCAGGGCAGCAGCATTTGTATTCCAGTCCCAGCATCCTGGGGACATCGTGGTCCCTGATAAAGATGAGCTAACATAGAGACCGAGTCACATGCTCGCAGCTCTTCAATTCACAGCAAACACAGATCAAGAATATTTCTCAATGTCTCGACTCAAGAAACTGCTGCCTGTAAGGAACTCTGAGTTCTTATGGAAAGAACTCCAAGGACGAGAACTGTATACATAGAAACATGCCTTTTAGGAGCTCCAGGTATGATCAGAGAATCTTGGGAAAAGAAAGGAGGCTGCCCTGCCACGGACTCTGGTGCTCTGCCTTCAGAAAGTGAAGACTTAGAAGTCCCTGTAGCAGACTTAAAGGTGTAGTGATAACAGTCTCATAATAGCTGCTAACACTGTGTGTCAGATTCTATGCTAACTACCCATATTATTATTGTACCCATTTTAAGGATTGGAAAACTGAGGCCCTGGATGACCTCCCCAAGGACATATATAGCTAGAAAGACATAGGGTGAGAATTTGAACCCACATGGTCTGGCTCTTTTTAATGCTCGTATAAGGGAACTGAGCTAACCCCTCAACTGCAGAGAAAAGGTAGGGGTGGGTATCCCAGGTGGGTGTCCCAGGTGTCTGTGAAGCAGAGACCAGATGGGATATTCCAAAACATTAACAAGGGTTTTTGTTATTAGGGCTTCAGATTCACTTGACTAGCAGTGTGATCCTAAGATGATGTAGTCAATAGAATTTGGGTTTTAGGGTCATCTGGGTTTGACTCTTATGACTGTGTGTCTGTGCATTACCCTCCCCTTCTCTAAGTTGTGTTTCCTCATCTGTAAAATAGGAATCATAGCACCTGCTCTGCGGAGACATTGGGAGGTTAGAGATAATGACAAAATGCAATGCTCTGCGTATAGTATATACTCAGTTTTTATTGTCATTATTGTTGCTGTTAATGCGCTGACGTGAAAACAATGCTAGACCTAAATGAAGGTCAAAGTTTGCACAAGATCACAGGCCCCTCAAAGGAAGGGTCTGTGGTTTAGTTGTTTCCATAGCCCCTAGACCAGAGGTCAGCAAGCTACAGCCCCTGGGCTGATCCAGCCTGCTCCGTTTTTGTAAACGACTTGTTTTGGAGCACGGCCACAAACCCATTCATTTTCCAGTTTGTCTGTGGCTGCTTTCACACTCTGACAGCAGAGTAGTTGCAAAGCTGGAAATATTTATCATCTGGCATTTTGCTGAAAAGATTTATTGATCTTGCCCCAGACCATGGTTTAAGACCTGGTAGATAACAAGTGCTCAGTACTTCACTTCTCTAGCCTGTGACCCTGGATCTGAATCCTGGCTCTCCCATTACCTTACTGTGTGACCTTAGATAAGTCCCTTTCCCTCTCAGGCACTCAGCCGCCTTGAAAAGTTGGTTTACATAAGTAGCCCTCAAACATGTAGCATAATCACCTGGGAACCTTTTCTTTGGATACAGATTCCTAAAGCTCATCTTCAAAGATGTTGACTCAGTAGGTCTGGGGAAGGACTCCAGAATCTGAATATTTTAAAGCTGTTTAGGCGACTGATATGCAGCCAGTTCAGATGTCACTTGCCTTGTCCTCACACCCTAGTGAGCAAACAAATCACCTTCGAAGCCTGTTAAGAGTACAGATTTCTAAGCCTCACTTCCAGGGATTCTGACCAATAAATCCAGGGTGTTCCCTGTGAGTCTGTAAGTTGATTATAATGCCCAGGAGACAGTAGGGAGTGGTAGAGACTGTGGTGAGCCACAAGGCCCATACCCGTCTAAAGGGACAGCCTCTATTCAGCTTTAGCTATCTGTTACCATGCAGGAACGTAGGCCTACCATTGCCAGATCATTTCTTTTTCAAGGGAAGCCAAAAGTTTCCACAAACTCTTCCACTTATAAAATTGTGGCCAGTTAATTCAATTTTAAAACATTTAAAACAACTAAAATACTTCTGTAGGTGATATTTGCCCTAGACCTCCAGCTAAATGATTTCTGAGTTCCCTCCCAGCTATAACCATCTAAGATGTAATTATTTCACAGATATTTAAATGAAGCTGACCTCCGTGTCCCTCATTGCTTTCAATGCTTTACAAATATTAACTCTTTCAATCCTAAAACCCTGTTGACAGATGAGGAAACTGAGAACAGAGAGGGTAGTAGGTGGCTGAAGGGTGAGGTGGACCCAGACAGGCTGGGACCGCAGAGCTCGCCTCCTCCAGCCCACCTCCCCATCCCACTGGCTGACTCTGCTCCTTTATCCCACGAGCGCAGCAGACAGCCCGGCCCACCTTCTTTGCCCGCAAGTTTGAAGCTGTGGTGAATCAGGAAATCATCGGGCAGCTGGACTATTACCTGTATGGGAACTACCCCGCGGGCACGCCGGGCCTCCGCTCCTACTGGGAGAACGTCTACGATGAGCCCGACGGCATCCACAGCCTGAGTGACGTCGCGCTGACTCTGTACCATTCCTTCTCCCGCCTGGGCCTCCGCCGGGCCGAGGCGTCGCTGCACGCCCCGGGGGAGAGCAGCTGCAGGTGAGCCGGGAGGGGCGGGGTGACCAGGGACTGGGGACAGCCCTCCTTTGCGGGGGCTGCGGCTCCACCCCATGCTTCTCCCTGAAAATCAGCCACGCAGACGTCCCAGCGTCCAGAGCATTTGCTGTCTCAGCCATCGTCACCCTTTTACCCTCTCAGAATAGCAGATCTAATATTTACCTACTTATTTCCTTTCTGTGGACTCATTCTTTAAAAAAAAAATTTTTTTTTAATTTATGTGGCTATACCCGGTGTTAGATGTGGCATGCATTATCTTTCAGTTGTGGCATGTGGGATCTGAGCTTCTCTGGTGGGTCAGACAGTGAAGGATCTGCCTTCATGCAGATTCGATCCCTGGGTGGGCATCCGCTAGAGTAGGGAATGGCTACCCTCTCCAGTATTCTTGCCTGGAGAATTCCATGGATAGAGGAGCCTTGTGGGGTACAGTACATGGGGTCACAAAGCGTTGGACATGACTGAGCGACTAACACACACATGCACACACACACGCACGCGCACACACACTCACGCACGCACACACGCACACACGCAGGATCTGGTTCCACCAGGGATCAAACCCAAACCCCCTACATCGAGAGCATGGAATCATAACCACTGGACCACCAGGGAAGTCCTGTCTTTCTGTGGACTCATTCTTTAGGCTAAATATACATATTTTAGAAGAAAGCTTTATGTCACCATATTAGATAGTTCTGTTTGTTTTACATGGAAAGTAATCATGAAAATACAGAACATTTTTTTTTTACTTTTTGTTTTAGAAAATGTCAGATGTATACTAAATGGAGAGAAAAATGAAATCCCATCTCCTATCGCCAGCTCTAGTGATTACCGACTCCTAGCCAGTGCAGTTTCACCTCTGCCTTCACCCACTTTCCCCCTCCTCCCAGATCAGTTTGATTGAAGCAAATCCCATAAACATTTCATATGTCTCTGAAAATTGACTCCTTAAAACACGACCATACTATCATTGTCAGACCTGAAAATATAACCAGTAACCTCATGGAAGGCAGAACCATTATTTAAAACGTTCACGTAACCTTTAGAATCATCTACCACTGGTGGGTACTAGTTGATACTTCAGGAAAGAATGTTCTAGAATATATGGAAAGAAGACGGGAGATGGGGAAAGGATTCAGCATCACCCCCAGCTCCGCTGCCTTTCCCTAAGCCTACCAAACCCTTTTAATTTGGGGCTGCTTCTCTTCCTCCTCAGCAATATGCATTGCAGATATTTCATAATTGCAAGGATTGCGTGTCCTGTCTCTTTGGCTCAGCATTGGGATATTAGCCCCTCCTCTCCTTGCTCTTCTGCAGCTTCCATAATGATAATGACCCTTTGTAATGCCGCCGGTATTCCATTGAGTAGGAATTCCAGAGTTTGCTTAATCCAGCCCTTTCCTGTTGCCATTGTTCTGATGAATGTCTTTTTGCAGAAAGCCTTTCTTTTTTTCCTTTCTCCTTTCTGATTATTTCCTGAGAATGGACTCCCAGAAGTGCCTCCAATCACTCTCTTGCTCTTTCTTGTTCTGCCTCTGCCTCCTCCTCCCACCTTCCTCTTTAAACAACAAAGAAAAAATTATTAGCATCAGTCTTTCTCCTCTGAGCCTTCTATGTGTCACTCCTTACCCTGCTCTTCCTTCCTCTCAAGAATGGAAGAGGGACAGGAAAGGAGCTATTTTGTTCTACAAAACTCTGAAAACATGGAAGGTTTTCCTGACTGGGACCCCATGCAGATCAGCTGGGTTTCCACGTGCCTGCAACAAATTTCCCCTCAGCCTTCTGTCTCCTCTACCTGCAGGTCCTGATTTACTTTAAAAGAAGACCAGAATGGGTTAGAAACCCAGAACCTGCCATTTGAACTCCACTCTTACTAGCTATTGACCTTGGACAAGTCTTGAACCTCCCTGAGCCTCAGTTTCCTCATCTGTAAAATGGGAATAATAATAAGCCTTGCAGCATAAGGTGTTGTTAGGTATAAAGGGGATAATCCTCCAAAACTACTTTATTAGTCGTGTATTTTATTATCATTATCCCCATTTTAACAGTATTTTCTATATGAAGTGCTTTAGTAAATGTTTATGCCATTGTTGGTATCTTAGTCGCCAGTATCCATAAGCCGCAGCTGTGTGAGCTACTTGTTCCGTCACTGGTCATATGAGCTGTTTATCAGTTCCTCTGCGCTGTCCTTTGTTGACTGTCCCCTCAGTCTGCCTTTTCCGAGTGTTCCAGGGTCATCTCAGGTGCCACATCCTCTCTGAGGCTTGCTAAGAGCTCCCCCAATAGCCCACCCCGTACCTCTCCTCATTTGAAAGCAGGTTTTCCTTCAACACTCCCATTGCTAGTAACAGCAGTGCCTCAGGTCAATCTTTTCGTCCCTGCTAGTCCAGGGGCAGAATCCCTGCCCCAGGAGCCACAGTATGTGGCCCCGGTAGATGACACAGTGCCTGGTGCTTGGAAGGCAAATATCGTTTCAGGAGTAGTTTTAATCCCAGGTTTCATAGCATTTGTAAGGTAAATAATCTTAGATGAAATTTTGAAAGACACCTCCAAGTGATTTATGATTGCTGAAATTTTCTTCTGGTATTTGTTTTGGGATTTAGCAAGCCATCAAGTTGCCTCAGGCCTGGAATCCTTTGGCTTCTACTTCATTTTTTATTATAATGGAACCCTTGTGTCTTGCTGTGGGCAAAGCCAATACATTTATTAATACAAGCCTAAAAATAAATCAGGACAAAGGACCCCTATCCCAAAAGGCAAAAGAGAGTAAATTCCTACCCCAGAGCTATCTGGGGAAAAATTGAAAACTTTATTTCAAAATCTCATTTTCTCTGGACATTTCATGCAGATTGCGGCTTTCTAGTTTATAGTATACCCTTTCATAAAAAATAATGTTTATCAATTTTTTTTCTCATTGGAAGATAACATTTATTCATTGCAGAAAATTTCAAAATGGCAGATGGAAAGAACAAGAAAATAGAAGGTTGCTTGAGAGTCCCTTTCAGAGATAAGGATGTCAGTGTTTTATTACAGGTCCTCAAGTTCAAATGTGGTCTAGGGCCAGGCAGGAAGCATGTGTCCTTAGCTAAGGATGGACTGATCCCACGGACCAGAGGCCCCCGGGGTCCCAGTGCTGAATTCCAGCACATCCTTGCCCTGTGGGAATGTACACTTGGAGCTGCCAATCACATCTCCTGATTTTTTCAAACAAATTAGAAATGCACATTTTTGTGTGAGCTTCCCAAAGTTTTTAATGCCCACCTCATTTAAATAAGAAATAAAAACACCTTTGGGCCAAGCAAATGCACCAGAGACATCATTTAGGTTCTCTTGTATTGCCTCTGGCATCTTCTAGTGCATCTAGTTACAACTGTCCTCTCAGTTTTAATTACTTAATTACCACCTACAGTCTAGAGGAGGTACCAGTGGACTTTGTGATCTGTCCTGGTTGCAGGTTCCCTAGATGTATCTTAGAAGCAAAGGGTTCAAGAGAATATCCTTCTAGAATCTTCACTCAAACATTAAGTATTGATTGAGCATCTGCCATATGGCAGGCTCTGCATTGGGCCCTGGGCCCTCAGCCATGACCCAGACAGACCAGGCCCCAAGCTCAAGGCCCTCCTGTTCTAGTGTGAAGACGGGCAGCACCCCAGCTCACAGCAGCAAGAACAAAAGTCTCTAAAGATAAATGCTCTGCTGAGAATGAAGATAAGCTCAAGTAACAGCAGTGAGTTGGTGACTTAACCTTCAGCAGTCAAGGAAGATCTCTCTGAGATGGTAACATTTAGCCAAAAAGATAAGGCAGAGCCCACCATGCAATCAGTAGAGGAAAAGAGCATCCCCAGCAGAGAGAATGTCCCGTGCAAAGGCCCTGGTCTAGAAATGAGCTCAGGGTGTTCAAGACTCGAAAATAAGGTCCACATAGCTAGAAGGTGGTCAGCTGGGACAAAGGGAAACAAAATGAGGCTAGAGAAAGAGGCAGGACCTTGTAGACTAGGTAAGGAGTTTGAGTTTTATCCAAGCATAAGCAGAACCCCTTGTGGTATTTAAGGAAGGGATGACAGATATGGCTACTCTGAGAATCCGTTACAGCAGATGACAGTAGAAGGAAGATACGTAAGGCAGCTCCAGCAAAGGTCCAGGTAAGACTTGATGGTAGCTTGGACCAGGATGCTGGTCATGCATAGGACAGGAGAGAATGGATTCAGGTAGAGAAAACAGGATTTCTTGGAAGAAGGAACGTGAGCAATGCAAGGTTAGCTCTTGGATTTCTTGACCATCGCTTATTTACCTGACCCTTTAGCAGCATCCCCTACAACTGACTGCCTCCTTCTGGAAACACTTGCTTCTTTTGATTTCCATGGTAATACTTTCTCCTGCTTTTCTTCAACTTTCACTGGTCCACCCACCTTACAGAACAAGCACTGACAGTGTGTTATTTATCCGTTGCAATAATGTCACGTAACAAACAAGCCCCAAGTCCGTGTTTTGAAACCAGAAGCATTTACAGAGCCTCCAGGCTTGCAGGTGAGCTCAGCAGTGTTCCTGGGCTCTGCTGGTGTCTCTCCCGCTTCTGTCGCCAGGGGCGGGTCAGGAGGGAGGCTCTGCTGCTCTTGGCTGGGAGTTGTCGGTGGATCTAGGATGGCTTCGGCTGGGATACCTGGGGTGGCTCGGCTCTGCTCCAAACACCTCATCTTCCCACGCATTAGCCCACCTGTGCTCTCACCGTGAGTACAGAGGAGCAAGAGAGGGGATGGGAAAATGTGCAAGGCTACCTGGGATCCTGGCTCAGAACAGGCACAATACCTCATCTGCTGGCCAAAGCAGATTTGAAAAGGGGGAATAGACTCACCTCACTGGTGCAAGGAAACCCACCAAGTCACGTGGGAAAGAGACAGAAGTGACAATTTGGGGACATCATTGCAGGCAACCCCTGGACACTTTCGCAGCACCATCTATGCTGTCTCTGCAAGGAGACATTTAAGTTTAAATTAGCCAAAATGTAAAATGCTTTCCCTCAATTACACCAGCCGTATGTCTAGAGCTCCGTCATCAGCAGTGGTTAGGGTTACTGGGCTGGACGGTGCAGATGTAGAACATTCCATCATGGCAGCAAGTTCTGCAGCACAGTCCCAGAGAGGGTTTTCTGCTTCCAAAGTCCAGACCCAAGTGGACCTGCGACGGCCGGGAATGTGTGGTGAGCAGTCTGAAGACGGGGCAGGTTTTTTTGCTCAGAGCCCCGGGGGCATCCGATAACAAGGCAGTGATTTCAGGAGACAGCATAACACAGGAAGGCAGCTTCCCTGTTATAATCAGACGTAAAGACTTAAACTCCAGGGCAGGACCAGAGGGAAGGAAGTGAGCGGGACGGTGATTTGTGGAATGCTGGAACCACAAGCATCCTGTAAGTGCCCTGCACCTTACACAGTGCAGAAGCCGGCAGCTTTTCATTTTACAGCCAGGAAGGACAGACATGTAGGCTTGTCCACGCTCGTCCTTCCTTCTCTGTCTGCTCTCCTCCCTCCTCTGGGCCTCTGTTTAGCTTCCCTGCCCCTTTCAGCCAGAAGCCTTTGTGGATCAAAGACCTGCTATTTGTCTCTGTATGTATTTATCTCAGATTGGCAATACTTTTTAAGCATCATACCCAGTTAATTGGTGAAAAGGATGGTGAGACTGTAAATTGGAACAAGCTTTCTGATAAACTTGGACAGCAGACATCAAGAGCCTCTTGGAGATTAGAGGAGAAAGATGTTTCCCAAAACATTTTTGCTCAAGGATGCTTACCGCAGCATTGTTCAGAATGGCAAAAAAATTAGAAACAAGTTGAACACTCAATGATGGGGAACTTTCTTTGTTTATAAAACCATATTTTGGTATTATAGTTCCATGTCACAGTATTACATACACTGGAATGATGTATACACACACAAAAAAATCATGTTTTCAGAGACTATTCAAAGACATGATAATGATCAGGAAATACTGTGAAGCAAAACCAGGATAGAGCCAGTGTGTATATTATGATCCCAGCTATAGAGAATTTATGTAAATATGTGCATAGAAAATAAGGCTGAAAGGAAATATGTCATGATGATATTGTTTGCACACCATTGTCACTTCTCAGCACCCAGCACCAGAGGATCACTGAATATATCTGTGAATTGACATCATCTATCCCTGATGCTGGGAAAGATTGAAGGCAAAAGGACAATGGGGCAGCAGCAGATGAGATAGTCAGAGAGCATCACCGACCCAATGGACATGAACTTGAGCAAACTCTGGGAGATAGTGGAGGACAGGGAAGCCTGGCATGCTGCAGTCCACAGGGTCACAAAGAGTTGGACACACAACTTATTAGTTAGCTGCTGTTAGCAACTCAATAACAACATGGAAGAAGCATCCAAAGTAGCCATTTTTATTTTCATAATTGTGCTTTCATACAGTCCGTATGTTTTACACTTATGATCAGCAGGAAAGTTATTGTTAATAGTTATTGAGATCCTAGAAACATGGAGTACAGCCTTCAGGAAAATGGTGGGCTTGGTATAAAGTGGGGGTTCTCTTGGGAACAGGATCGGCATGATGGGTGGGGAGCCCCATCATGACCGACACGCATCCAGTCCTGACCCATGACCTCGCATGAGCCTGTGCATGTTTTTCAGGTACTATCCAATGGGCCACCCCGCCTCTGTCCACCTCTACTTCCTTGCTGACCGTTTCCAGGGCTTTCTTATCAAGCATCATGCTACAAATCTGGCCGTGAGCAAACTCGAGACCCTGGAGACATGGGTGATGCCGAAGAAAGTCTTCAAGATTGCCAGCCCACCCAGCGACTTTGGGAGGCTTCAGTTTTCAGAGGTAGGAGGCCAAAGACTCTCTCACGACATTGCCTCTGGCCGCACCGTTGCTGGGTTTTATTCCTGCTCTGACACTTGTAGTTGGAAATGGAGGAGAAGCTGCCTTGAAGGACCCCAAAGATAAGCTCACCCTGTGTCTGGAGAAGGTCTGGGGTGGTGCGTATCAGTGCACCAACCAGCCTGGAGCCCTGGTATATCTTTATAGTAGAAATTCTATTCCTTTTCCATTTTTACCCTAATTAGTGATTCCTTCTAATCCTGTGTTAGTAATAAACCAGTAACAAGCCAGTTTCCTAATGAAGTTGTGGCATTAGTCCCATCTTACAGATTGGAGAACTGAGGCCTATGGAGTGTCAATAATTTCCTGGATCATAACTAGGAAGCAGAAGAGTTCAACACTGAATCCAGGTTGCGTAGGCCACAAATCCCGTGCTTAATTGTGCTTTTGTCTCCCCAGTTCCTAGAATAGGGCTTAACTCAGAGTAATCACCAGATCAGTCATTGAATGGATGAGTGGTGGATGCATACATGCATAAAGGATTGGACAGAGGTGTCAGTAGATGGACAGATGGTCTGATACATGGATGCATGGATCCATGGAACGCAGTTCCTACCTCCCAGGACTGCATTGCTTTTAGTTACTTTTCTGCCTTGGGAGATGGATTCATCTAGCACCTGCCTTGTAACATCAACACCATCTTGAGGCCTGAAATCTACGTAATCTGGCCTCGTGTCTGCTTCTCCAGTCTCACCCAGGACCCAGTCTCTTTCCCACTCACACTTCTTGCATCTTTATCCATATTCCAAGTTCTTTCCTGCCTCAAGCTTGTCACACACTGATCCTCCTGCCCAGAATACTTTCCCCCAGGTTTTCACCTTTTTCCTTTGGTCATTCTGATCTTAAATCAAATAGTGCACCTTCAGAGAAGTCTTCCATGCCCACCCACTTTTGTCACAATCTTTCACCCAGTACATGGCTATTTTATGTTTCTTAGCGTTTATCATCTCTGATAAACGTTGATTTCTCTGATCACTTGGTGATTGTCTGCAAGAGAGCAGAGACTGCAGCACTCTCTCACTGCTGTATCCTCAGCACACCGTAGAGGACACAGCCTTTGTAGATGCGAACAGGATTTCTGAATGAGTGAGTGTATGTGCCTGGATAGTGATGCTGGTGGGAAGGGGAGGCATGACCCAGCTTAGTGAGCGTTGCCCACACAAAACTCCAGCACCTGATTTCTTCCTTCCCCATGTCAGCAAGTAGCTAAAGAGGTGGTCCATCCCTGGAGTGCAGCATTCCCAGTGAATTTGGCTGCTGGGTTGGGGGTAAAGAGTCTGACCATAGAATATGGAGAATCTCGGGGGCCAGGAGTGGGGTGGGAGGAAGCATCTGAGCTGCTTACATTTTCCAGCCCCTGTGGCCCTGCCTGGCCAACCTAGGCCTGACTGGATGGACACCGCACAGGCAGGGGTGGAGATTTCTTGTTAACCTACCATTTTCTTTTAAGAGATTTGTGTATTTATTTAGCCGTAGCGGGTCTTTCTGTTGCAGTGCTCAGGCTTCTCATTGCGGCGGCTTCTCTGTTGCAGGGCTCTTGCTCTAGGGCACACGGGCTCAGTGCCTCTGGAGCACCAGCTCCGTGGCTATGGCACACGGGCTTAGTTGCTCCATTACAATGTGGGATCTTCCTGGACAAGGTATCAAACAGGCGCCCCTTGCATTGCAAGGCAGGTTCTTAACCACTGGACCACCAGGGAAACCCCAAGCCACCATTTTCAATTAAGGCTCCAGATGGATCTGCTGGATCCGAGCTTGGTGGGAGCCCACCTCATAAATTACTGGTGTCGAGGAGCAATTAGATGCTGCCCCAGTTGGATTCTGTGCTGGGGGCCCACGCAGCCGATTGAAGACATTAATGTCCCATTAAGGAGATGGATGCCTGGTCACTGGGCTCTCCCTGTTTATCAGCCTGCTGGTGGGTGACTGGGCACTTCTGGCAGTGACAGATGTTGGCCACCCCATGCCCAGTGATTAGTGAGGGCTTGTGCTATAGCTCTGGTACCCTGCGTGTGGGAACCACCTGGATCTCTGGCAGAGGAACAGTGTGGGGTGCTGGGAGCCTTGAAACTGGTGTCATTAATTTTTTTCTTGGTTTTAAGGTAAATGGTGTAAAGTTGGACAAGAAGGAGGGAACCAAGTACAGGGCCCCTTTGTGGGCTGCTGAGAATCTCCATCAGGTCACATGGTCCTGGGGCTTTGCATAGGGCCTGGTTCACACACTCCATCCCTGGGAGTCCCATGCTCATGGCATAGAGGAAGGATGCTCCTTCCTTCAGCAGGCAGCCCCCGAGTGCCTATGGTGTGAGGGTGGGAGAGGCAGTGATGAACTGACAGACCGGATCCTTTTTGTCGTGGCATTGCTGTTTACTGGGGCAGCCAGCCAGTGATTGAGCAAATACGTGAATGAAATTCCAGTTAGTTTCATTCCAGTTAATGTCAAGGATTATAAAGAAAATAAGACTTCATCCATGTTTTCTGAGGGTTTGACAGGCTGGTGGGACAGCTTTCTGTTACCAAAACAAACCTGGGTCCACTCGCCCACACTCAGTAAAGCTAGTCTATTGACCTAGGGTTGTGTTGAAGGAAAAGTGTGGTGTTTATTGCAGGTGCCAAGCAAGGAGACCAGGCAGCTAGTGTTCAAAAGGTCCAAACTCCCAGATAGCTTTCAGGGAAAGTTTTTTAAAGACAGGGTGAGGGAGGGCACTTGTGGGGTGCGTGACCAGCTCATGGATGTTCTTCTGATTGGTTGGTGGTGAGGTAATCAGGAATCAACATCATCAACCTTCTGGTTCCAACGGTTCTGGGTTCTCTGTGCTTGTGGGCAGCATACAGTTAACTTTTTCCACCTGCTGGGGATTTCAGTACCTGCAAAAAGGCTTGAGGATATGGCTCAGAATATTATCTATTGTCCTTGAGAAGGAACTAAAAGATCCTCGACTTCATTTAATGGCTAAACTATTATTATTTTGCCTCACTTGACTGTTTTCCTTTCTTTCTGCATTTTCTCACACCTCTGATTAAATTCATTCTTTAGAACTTGAAGAAGGCCTTGGAGGCTAAAGTTTTTGTTACAGGCAAGAGGCAGGTGAAGGACCTGGGAGATCTGTCCTGAGAAGGCCCCATAGGGTCTTGCTGGGTTACACGTTGATGGAGCAAGTCATTCAGGAAGGCATTTCTAATGAGATAACTTCAGAGTTGAAACCTGTAAAGGAGTGGTGGGGAGACCTGGAGCTCTCTGGGATCTTCCAAGAGAAGAGCATGTGCAAAGGTCCTGAGGCCCCAGGAAGGAGCTTGGCATGGCCAGTGAGCAGGAGGAAGGCCTCGGGAGGACAGGGTACAGATCATGAGGGGTTTCACAGGCTCTGGAAAGAAGTTTGAATTGCATTTTAGGTGCAGTGGGAAAGAAGTCATGGTGGGCTTGAAGCTGGGGAGCAATATATTGAGCTTGAACTTCAATACATACTTAAATTTGAGTAATTGATCATTTTATGGTGAATGGCAGTGGACTTCCACAGTGAGGTCAGATGAGATCTTGAGCCGCAAACATGTGATAGCAATGGGACCCCTCTTGGACAGCCCTACGTCCCCTTGTGCTGAAGATGGCAGCTGACTTCTTCCTCCTCCTCTCCTAGATTTAGGACAAATTCAAGTTTCCCACTGTCAGCTGCTCTACAACTCTCCCACCTGGGTTACTTGGTTATAAAACTCAAACTTAAGAGAATTGTTCACCCCCATTTCTTTGGAGGATAATCCCCTAATTGGTCATACATAAATCCCTCCATTAAGTAGGATCCCAAAGTAGTTTTGTGATCATTAATCTCTTTGCCCATATTCTCAGCCCCTAATCATTCATGATGTAAATAGATGATGGATGGTTTGACAAAGACTGAGAACCTACTGTGTGCTCAGCATTGTTTTAGACACTATTGATATTTTGGTGAACAAGCCAGATGTGGTCCCTGCCTTCATGTAGTCGAGAGTTTTGAGCCATGGAAAGAGACATGTCAATTAGAATGTGATACTGCGCTAAATAACTACATAAATAAAAAGCTAAGCTTAGACAAGAATGTCAGGGGTGCCTGTAAGCAAGGCAGGCTTCCCAGTAGTGGTGACACCTGGGCTGAGAGCTGGATAATGAGCTGGCTAGGAGAAGAATGAGGAAGGAAAACAGACCCAGCCTGAGAGAGGGCCAGGCACAGACACAAGATCAGGGGGTGAGAGAGTCCTTCTGGCAGAGGTGCTGAGAGTGTTCCAGGGTGGCCTGGACAGTGGGGGGGTGGAGGAGGAGGGAGGGATGTAGGTGAAGCTGGAGTTGGATCAAAAAGGACCAGATCTTGCAGGTCAGGACAGGAGAAGAGACTGGACTAATGAACAACGGGAAGGAACTGGAAAGGATGGTATGGAGGGAAGTCACAGAATGGAACATCTCTAGAAAAATCTCTGTGACTTGGGGCCTGGCTTACATCCTGCTCGCTCCTTCATTTATTCCCTCAATAGACAGTGTGGTTCTCACTCCTCCTGTGTTCCAGCCACTGTGCTAGGCTCCAGGGGTCCTCAGGAGGAGCAGTCCCTGCTCGTCCTCTAAGAGATCAGCTGCTGCTATCTATGACCCCCCTGCTGCTCTGAGGACAGCTCCTCAAGGTCAGTCTTGGTGGCCCAAAGACGGAAAGTTGAAGCAGGCTGTGGGCCGTGATTATGTATTACAACCACCCCTGTAGGTGGTAGTTGCCTGACACATTTGTGTTGAATAAATGAATGAATGAATGAATGAGTGGGTGAGTGAATAGGAGGCAATACACAGAAGAGTAAATAAGAACCTAGCCCCTGGGCCCAGACTTCCTGGATCCCTCTTACTAACCGGAGCAAGTCATCTGACTGCTCTGAACCTCAGAGCATTTCCTCATGTGTGAAGTGATGATAAGATCAAGGGCGCTCCCTAGATGGAGGTGGGAATGTTAGCTGAATCAATGCACCTGTGCCCTTAGCAGTAGGCCTGGAACACCAGAAACTCTGGATAAATATTAGCCATGGAGCCCTGTGTCTTAGGGATGGGTAAAGTAACTCATGGCAGAAACAATGAAAAAATAAACCAGCTCGTGTTTGCACTGCATGTGTGAAGTCTGCTCAAGGTGTAGACGTGTTTACTCACACCTGCACCACCTCCTCACCACCACCCCCCAACCCACACACACACACACATCAGAGATGCTGCTCATGGAAGGACCACAGAAAAGGTACAGGCCTTGTAGTGTGCTCATCACCTGCTACCTTGTGCCCACACGCTATGTCTTCAGAACATTATACTAAACCTCCTGGGGGAGAGAAGACCCCCTAATTTCATCTGACTTGAAATAGTAACAGAGCTTAGTATCAGGGATCTATGTTGTTAGTTCATTTTTTGCCAAGTTATTCATGCATGCATTCACTAGGTGATTAATGGAGCATTGACTGTGTACCAAGCAGTGTTGGACACCGGAATTCAGCAGGGGGGCAGTCACAGGGATTTGAGCAGTGAGAAGCCATTTCACTAGGTTGTTCTGGATACTGGGTGGAGAATAAATTGGAGTCCCCAAAAGGGGAAAGATGGAAGCCAAGAGCAGATTTCTGGGGTCAAAGCTATACACACACACCCCACTGACTGGCAAGAAGGATGGATCATACAGCCATCACTCCTCTTAGGGTCCAGCTCAGGATGCTTTGGGGAAGCCAAAACTGTCTCTTCCTTGGAAAGCCATCTGAACTCCTGCATATGATAGGTGATGCTAAGGGACCCTCCTTTTTCCTAGCTTATGACAGGGCAGCTCCAAATCCTGAGCGCCACTCTTGTTCAGAATGATTGCTCTAAAAAGAGGCACGTGATCTGGAAAGCCAACGACCGAAGTGGAAATCAGCTGCACTTGTTGAGTGTCAGGAGTTATGTTTCCTTGGGATGGCCCACAAGTGGTCATTCATTCATTCCACATGCACACCATGAACCAGACACAGGAGGCCTGAAGTAAATGGACCATAGGCCCACTATCCTTCAGACTAGATCCAAATCCCAGACCTCCTGCCACTGCCTGCCCAGCCTTAAGTTGCTGAGCAAGTAACTTAATTTTAGCCTCAGTTTCCTCATCTGTAAAATGGGTAAATGAAGCCCAGTAAGCAGGACCCTGGGCTTCCCTGGTGGCTCACTGGTAGAGAATCCACCTGCCAATGCAGGAAACGCGGGTTTGATCCCTCGTTTGGGAAGATCCCTGGAGAAGGAAATAGCAACCCACTCCAGTATCCTTGCCTGGGAAATTCCATGGACAGAGGAGCCTAATGGGCTATGGTCCATGGGTTCACAACAGAGCTGGACACAGCTTAGTGCCTAAACAGCAACAACAAAAGCAGGATCCTAGGCCTTTCTGGGATGGAGCACCCACATTCAGGCCCAATGATTTCAGGATTCACTCTTGTGTTTCAGGTCGGTACTGACTGGGATGCCAAGGAGCGGCTCTTCCGCAACTTTGGGGGTCTCCTGGGGCCCATGGATGAGCCGATAGGCATGCAGAAATGGGGGAAGGGCCCCAATGTGACCGTGACTGTCATCTGGGTGGATCCCGTCAACATTATCGCAGCCACCTACGACATCCTGATTGAGTCCACGGCCGAGTTCACCCACTACAAGCCCCCTTTGAACTTGCCCCTGAGGCCTGGGGTCTGGACGGTGAAAATTCTCCACCACTGGGTACCAGTCGCAGAAACCAAATTCCTCGTTGCACCTCTGACCTTCTCAAACAGGCAGCCCATCAAACCAGGTGAGTGCTCCCGTGTGTCTGCGGGCTAAGTATTCCACTGCCAAGGCCCTCCCAGGTCCTCCACCTGGGCGGGCAATGATGCTCAGATGTGGGGCATGTGGGCCACCTTTGAGAGCAGCACTCGCCTCTCAGGATTTTTTCTGGCTCATTTGTCATACCGAACCTTCTAATTTTCTGCCTGTCACTGCACACGGAGGTGATGTCGTCTGTCTGTATTAGACACCTATTTATTAGATGCTGTCCCGTTGGACTTCCAGAAGGCCCTAATCATATTTGAAACAGATGGGAAATAAACCCAGGCTGATATTGAGTTTCAGCAAATCTTGTTCACTCTTTAAAATAAAAATAATTGAAAGAGGAATTTCTGTTTATCAAAAACATGATACACTGGGTAAGGAGACATATCACATACTAGAGGAAAATATTTGCCATACATTTTAAAAAGCACTCATATTTGAGTATACAAAAAATACTCAAATTGAGAAATTCCCTGAGTCAGAGCAAACTATAAGCCACAAGCCAAATCCAGCCCACTCCGTTTTTGTAAATAAAGTTTTACTGAAACACAGTCACACTCATTTACATGCTGACTATGATTGCTTTGGGGCCACAATGCCATCATTGAGTGATTGCCCACAGAGCCAAAAGTATTTGCTATCTGGCCCTTTAAAGAAAGGGCCAATCTCTGATATAGAAGAAATAAAAAAGAGAGTGAAAGTATACATGCACACATATACAAAGGTGTTCAGCCTCATGAGTAATGAAAGAAATGCAAATTCAAATCAAAAAGAGATTCTACTTCACATCCGCCATGGTAGGACATATTTGAAGTTGAGACAACTTTATTTGATGGTCAAGTTGGAGAATAATAGCCATCCATGTATGTCCTGGATGCCACCAGCTTCCCAGGTGACACAGTTGGTAAAGAACCCGCCTGCCAAGGCAGGAGACACAAGAGACATGGGTTCGATTCTTGGGTCAGGAAGATCCCCTGGAGGAGTAAATGACAGCCCACTTCAGTATTCTTTCCTGGAAAATTCCATGGACAGAGAAGCCTCATGAGCTATAGTCCAGGGACCCACAAAGTATCCGGCACGACTGAGCTCACACGCAATGAAGAATGATGTATGTCCTGGTGGGAGAACCACATAATAAAATGAGTTTGGAAAATGCTTTAGCATTTGCTGGTAAAGTTGAACACAGATACATACCACACAGACATTCCAACCAAGGTAGAGGCTTGTGCAGAAATACAGCAGAGTTGTTCATAATAGCAGCAAACCTGAACCGATCCAGATGTCCGACATCTGATGGGCCATCAGTGTGGTCTGTTCTGACAGCGAAAGTCTACACAGAAGGGAACCCAGTGCAGGAACACTCCACATGCTGATCTGGACAAGTGTCTAGAACAGAACTTTGGAGGGGGGGGTGAATATAATAATTACAGTACATGTATTTAAAGTTCAAAAACTGGCCAAGCCAACAATATGTTATTTCATTATTCATATATCAGTAGAAAGCTATGAAGAAATAATGGGAATTATTAATAGGAAATTCAGGATGAGGGGGTCAAGGAGAGGGGTGTCAGACTCCTAGCGTGTCTGCCTTTTTTCTTTTTTTTCCCAAAAAGATTTCTTTTATTTTTCTATTTCCCCTCCTTTCCTTTTCCTTTTATCATGGGGACCATCTTCCTTGCTCCTTCAGTGACTCATCTGTAAAGAATCCACCTGCAATGTAGGAGACGTGGGTTCAACCCCTGGGTCAGGAAGATCCCCTGGAGCGGGGCACAGCAACCCACTCCAGTATTCCTGCCTGGAGAATCCTATGGACAGAGGAGCCTGGTGGGCTACAGTCCATGGGTCAAAGAGTTGGACACGACTGAAGCAACTCAACATGCATGCAGGCACTCACAACGCACAGCTCTTCCTCCCTGCTCAGCTCCACCCCCTGGAGTGGCCACTGCCAAGAGTCCAGTGTGCATCCTTCTAGATGTTTCTCAGTGTTGGTAGCTCCGCTGGTAAAGAACCCGCCTGCAATGCAGGAGACCCCGGTTTGATTCTTGGGTTGGGAAGATCCACTGGAGAATGGATAAGGTTACCCACTTCAGTATTCTTGGGCTTCCCTGGTAAAGAATCCGCCTGCAATGCAGGAGACTTGGGTTGGATCCCTGGGTTGGGAAGATCCCCTGGAGAAGGGAAAGGCTACCCACTCCAGTATTCTGGCCTGGAGAATTCCAGGAGAATTCTACACAGTCCATGGGTTCCCAAAAAGTCAGACATGACTGAGCGGCTTTCACTTTCAAATACAAAATAAATCACAAAGATATAGTCATTTTTTGAAAAGTGGAATGATACACTTTGTAGTGAAACTTGCTTTTTTTCACTTTCGAATCAATATTTGTAAAACTACCAGCTGCCTAGTATTCCTTTGAGTTTAGAATCCACAGTCTGTCCCCCGCCTTGGTGGACGCACACCTTCTTTTATTGTTGTTATTACAGATAACACTGCAAAGATGATTCTTGAACCTAAAACAGTATGTGCCCATGAAAATACTTACGTAACACAGATTCCTAGAGACAGGACTTCTAGGTCTCTGGGTGTTTGAAATGGTCCATCTCCATCTAACAGATCACAAACCCAGAAGTAAGGAGCGCTTCATAGTCTCTGTTAGCTAAGAAGAGCTCTGGGCTGGGTGTCACTTAGCTAGTCACACAAGGGGAGGAGGACATAGATACGGGGAAGGGCACTTGGAGTCCTAAAAAGGGGGTGTTGATGTGAAGTCTGTCAGTTTCCGCCAAATTTCTGTGCTAACAAGCAGAAAGATTTGGACCTCGTGTTTTGGACCTCCCCCATGAGACAGGCAAAAGACAGTCCCTCCAGAACTAGCTGGGCCAGAGCCCAGGCACTTTGGGGCCTCGAGTGTCCCCCTGAAGAGGCTCACATTCTTCGCATCACTAAGGGTTCCCAAAGCCAGACGTAGAGGAGAGGCATGGAAGTGACCATCTCCTCTCTGCTTTCAATACATCTAGAACAAGAATGGCCCTGAATCCATCCTACCTCAGGAAAATGGCCCAGGGCCATGCATAGGGTCCCGATTTTTTCCAGCCTTTTTCTCCTAGGGTTTCTAAAGACAACAAGGCTCTTCCCACCCATGCTCAGGATGAGCCAGGGGTCATTTTATCCCACTGGGAGCAGCCTCCCTGTTGTCGGTAATTGTATCTGTTAATGATGTTCCAGTGACAGGGAACAAGAAGGTGGGAGCAATGCAATTTGTAAAATGATTCATCAAGAGTAATTTGCTATTGATGCGTCCCTGGTAATCTCAAGAAATCTGATGAGGTGGAATTGAGGGAAATTTAATTAGAGAGGCGAGCATCGTGGGCTGATGCTGTAATAGCATTTCCCACATTAACCTCATTTTTCATAAGGGTTTTCTGCACCAACCACAATATTTGATTCCCAGTGTTCAAATGTTTGTTAATTGCTCTTTTCACTTTGCAAGTCCTGCCTTTTCTCAGTTGGGGTGTCTCCCTGATCCCTAGCTTCTCATCTTCACAGTCTCTGCTGAGATGGGGGCAGGAGCTGCCCACCCTGTGGTGGGTATCAGGGAGAAATGGGCGAGAGCCAGACTTGTTAATGAACTTGAAATAGAGAGGCTCTGATAAATATAGCAAGACAGGACATGTGCTTCATGCATGCTTTTCTGCTTTCTCCCACCTGTCTGCCTCCGAACCACAGAGTCCAGCTCCCCAGCTTCCTGGGGCATTGGGAACTGAAGGGATGACTTTCTTGTATAGTTTTTTTTTTTTTAATTGGAGTATAGTTGCTTTCAATGTTGCGTTAGTTTCTGCTGTACTGTGAAGTGAATCAGCTGTAAGTATACCTATGTCCCCTCCCTGCTGGACCTCCCTCCCACCCACCACCCCCACATCCCACCTCTCTAGGTCATCACAAAGGACCAGCCTGAACTTCCTGTGCTTTATAGCAGGTTCCCACTAGCTATCTGTTTTACATATGGTAATGTATCTGTCAATCATCATCTCCCAATTAGTCCCACCTTTAAATGCCACGGACGAAGAGCGTGGTAGGCTACAGTCCATGGAGTCACACAGTCGGACAGGACTGAGCGACTTCACTTTCACTTTATCTTCCCCACCCTCCTGGTGTCTGCATGTCCATTCTCTATGCCTGCATCTCTATTCCTGCCCTGGGGATAGGTTCATCTGTACCCTTTTTCTAGATTCCACATATATGCGTTAATATATAGTATTTGTTTTTCTCTTTCTGACTTACTTCACTCTGTATAACAGACTCTAGGTCCATCTCCATCTTTACAAATGACCCATTTTTTTTCCTTTTGTAGCTGAGTTATATATACGTATATACACCACATCTTCTCTATCCGTCCATCTGTCATTGGACATGTAGGTTGTCTCCACGTCCTGGCTATTGTGAATAGTGCTGCAGTAAACACTGGGTACATGTATCCTTTTGAATTATGGTTTTCTCAGGGGATATGTCAAGGCACATGTTTTTGCCTTTCCTTTTTCAAAATTTACTTTTAATTGAAGGATAACTGCTTCACAATACTGTGTTGGTTTCTGCCACACATCAACGTGAATCAGCCATAGATGTGCATGTGACCCCTCCCTCCGGAGCCTCCCTCCCACTTCCCACACTGTCCCACCCCTCTAAGTTGTCACAGAGCCCTGGTTGGGGTTCCCTGAGACATACGGCAAGTTCCCACTGGCTATGTATTTTACAAATGGTAGGGTATATGTTTCCATTCAACTTTCTCCATTCATCCCACCCTCTGAATCCACAAGTCTGTTCCCTATGTCTGCATCTCTACTGCTGCCCTGCACATAAGTTCATCAGTATCATGTTTCTAGATTCCATATATTTGCGTTAATATATGATATTTGTTCTTCTCTTTTGACTTACTTCACTCTGTATGATTGGCTCCAGGTTCATCCACTTCATTAGAACTAACTCAAATGTGTTCCTTCTTATGGCTAAAATTCCACTGTATATATATATACCACAGCTTCTTTATCCATTCATCTTTCAGTGGACATCTAAGTTACTTCCATGTCCTAGCTATTGTTAATTGTGCTACAGTGAATATTGGGGTACCTGAGTCTTTGTCAATTATGATTTCCTCAGGGCAAGGCATATTTTTAATTCAACTAGTTTTCTCATTGCTTTTTGAAGGGCAGGCATATATACACTGTCTTTCTTCTTCACTCAGGACCACACATATTAGAAAATAACCTTCTGATTATCCAGGTTGTCCTGGCTGTCTCCAAGAGCGACAGCCACTTTGAAGTAAAGAGGAAGCATTGTCATCTGAATGCTGCTTTGTCTTATAAGGAAGTTTCTTCTAATCCCAGTGAGCTCAGCTATAGCAAAACCTGATTTGGTGAAACTTGACTTACCAGAATGGTTATCCAGTCTTTCTTTAAAATATATTCTTGTAATTAGCAATGAAATAAGCCATGAGAGGGAGCTTCCTCAAAATAGAGATATCTAGCTTCTTTTTGTCAGCCCAAATATCTATATTTTCTGCTTCCCCATCTTTAAGCCCTGGGAAACTGTCAGTCCCTCTCTTGTTCATATGTTACTTTACAAACCACATGGGCTTTCCCCAAGCCTCGTGCCAGTCTTGTGAGTCTAATTGCTGGAAGGGTAAATATCCCCATTTTGCAGTTGGGGGACCAACTCTGCAAAAGACTAGCTCCCAGATGGAAAAATAAAGTAAAAATGAAAAGCACCGTTTTAACTTCTGTGGATGTGTGGGCTTGTTTACTGTGTTTACAATGACATGCTCTGGCTTTGGAGTCAGCCAGCCCTGGGTTTAACTCCAGATCTAATCTATAGCTGCTTCTGTTTCCTCATCTGTAAAATGGGGATGATAAAAACCAGCCCTATAGTTGTGTGTGTGTGTGTGTGGTGTACTAATAATGCCAATATTAATAGTTCTAGCTAAACTTTCCTGAATACTTCAAATATGCTGGGCGGCATTTTAAGCACCACACATGAATCAGCATGCTTAATCATCACAAACAAACTACAAGGAAGGTACTAGTTCTCTACCCATTGTCATTGATGAGGAAGAAGTCAGATGCCTAGTGTGTGAGACGTGGGTATTCAAACTCAGGCAGCCTTACTGTGGTCCCCATGCTCTGGCCTGAGAGCAAGGCAGAGCTGTTTCAGAAGCCAGTTGGACCTCCCACCTGCCCAACTCTGGTCCAGGCTTTGGGCTCCCCAGGACTCCTTGCTGTGGTCCATCCGTGCACTACACCTTGGACCAAAGGAGAAATCCCTGTCTTATAGAGAGCTCACGGTGGGCATTCAGCAGCCAAGTGCAGGACTCCACTCCAGGCTTTGAGGTCCACAGACCCTGGTTCAAACCTTGGCTCCAACTCTCATTGCCTGTGTGATTTGAGGAAAGGTGCTCAGTGAGGCTTAATACTTTCTGTTTCCAAAACCTAGAATTCTCTCCTCCAGGATCTGTGTGTAGCTCCTTCCTTCACGTGAATCAGCACTCAGCTCAGATGTCACCACCTCGGAGAGGTCTCCCCTGCCCATCCCATCTAAGATAAACACCTTGTCACTCTCTAACCCAGGCATCAGCAAGTTATTACTGTAAAGGGCTAGATAGTAAATTTTTCAGCTTTGCGGGCCATGTAAAATTTCTATCTCAACTACTCAGCTGTGCTGTGGTAACAGTCATAGACAATATGTGTCCAAATGGGCATAGCCATGTTCCAGTAAAATTTATTTGCAACAACAGGTGGTGGGCCAAATTTGGCCCAAGGGCCTTAGTTTATCAAGCCCCTGCTCTGACTCAACACACCTCATTAATTCCTTTCATGACCCTTATCAGTTTTGGGATGACCTTATTTATTTGCTTGTTTCCTTATCATCATTACTGGTTTGCTCTACCACAGAATAGAACCTCGCACTTAATATATCTGCATCAAATAAATGAATGAATGAATGCCTTGCAGATAACAGATGTTTAGTAAATATGTGTTGTATGAATTACTGTCTGGACTATAGTAGAAAGAAAGCGAAATCGCTCAGTTGTGTCCTACTCTTTGCAACCCCATGGACTGTAGCCTTCCAGATTCCTCCGCCCATGGGATTTTCCAGGCAAGAGTACTGGAGTGGGTTGCCATTTCCTCCTGCAGGGGATCTTCCTGACCCAGGGATTGAACCCGGGTCTCCTGTAGTGCAGGCAGACACTTTACCATCTGAGACACCAGGGACTGTAGTAGGGGCTCCATAAATACATGCTGAATGGATAAATGAATGGACCACACAAAGTGGGATCGTACCTCTTGAAGGAATGTCCTCGTGGGCTCAATTTCTTTGTCTGTACAATGGGATTTCTAAAAGGACTTCCTCATGAGATTGTCCCATGAACGGGACAGTGCTGTGCGGTGCCCAGCATGGTGCCAGGCACGCAGTAGTAAGTTACCGGTCCGAGGCTCGTCTACTGATGTCATTGTTGCCTTTGACTTTCAGAGGAGGCGTTGAGGCTGCACAATGGGCCCCTCCGCAGCGCCTACATGGAGCAGAGCTTCCAGAGCCTGAACCCCGTCCTCAGCCTACCCATCAACCCCGCCCAGGTGGAGCAGGCTCGGCGGAACGCGGCCTCCGCCGGCGCCACACTGGAGAGCTGGCTGGACTCGCTGGTGGGAGGGATGTGGACTGCCATGGACATCTGTGCCACGGGCCCCAGCGCCTGCCCGGTCATGCAGACCTGCAGCCAGACAGCCTGGAGCTCCTTCAGCCCCGACCCCAAGTCAGAGCTGGGGGCGGTCAAACCCGACGGCCGGCTCAGGTAGCACTGGGCACATGGGGACCCCAGCGGATCTCAAAGGGAAAGAAGCCAGATGGCCGGTGGGACCCAGACCCTGACCTCCCACCCCTGGGGCGGCCTTTGGTGAGAGGGGCTCTCCTGGCCATAGGATGATGAAGAAGGACGGTTTGGAGGCCAAAGCAGGTTCTGCCAACTACCTGCACCCTGCAGGCTGGCTACTGGGGACGTCAATGGCTTGGTCCCAGCACCGTGGTGGTCTTACCTCTTCTGGTTGATCCTCAAGTCCTACAGGTTCCTTGTCTTCCCCCTCAATGACATGACTCCCCCCCTCCCCCCCCAGATAAGTGATTCCCAAACTTTTCTATTGAGCAGCAGAGTATTTGTTTTACGGAGTCATAGGTGGAGGTTCAAGCTACGGAAGAAATCCAGGCTGCTTTGGTGGAAGCTGAGATTGTGAGATTCTATCTCATAGCTCAGCCCACTGGGCGGCCCCTTTGCCAAGGGCATCTCCTAAGGTACCTCTTCAGAACCCAAGGGCTCTGCAGAAGCTAGTTTGGAAAGCAGTGCCCAGAGGGTGGGTTTGATCTCCAGTCCTGCCCTTCCTGCTCCTCTGGGCCAGGAAACCCTTGTGCCAGCCTTGAAGTGACAGGACATGAAAGTCACATTCGTGGGCTCATTCCCAGCAAGGTAGTGGGCTTGGCAGAGGTTGGGGGGGGCGTGGCTTTGAGCCTCCCACCAACCCTTTTTGGGTTCAGCCATCCTCCTTTAGTAACTAGATGAGCAGGAGAGCCTTGTGATGTGACTTGGCCAAAGTCCAACCAAAGTGTCACTGCCAGACGTCCTGGGCACCCAGACATCCACCCTCTCTCGAGGCAGAAATGGGGTCATGCTCATGAGCCTGAGGCTAGCATTGAGCCCCCCAGCCATTCATGGGCCAGGAGACCAAGACCATGACCCCTCTGGGATTTGGCAGTGGGAACTTTGGGGGACCGTGGCCATGAACCTCATAGAGATCGCTGGGAGCAAAACTCCTGAGCTGGTCAGCCCAGCAATACCCCTCACCTGCCTGAGCCCTTCGTTCTGAGGTCAGGCGCTCGGAACTTTGTGAAATGCGTCTTCGGTGCTGCTGGGAGCAACCAAACCACGTGGAACAGACTTTTCACAGTGAGGAAAAAGCATTTCAGATTCGGTTTTTAAATTCATGCCCTTTCTTGTCCGAGGTGCCAACTGGCCCATCTGACATGCAGTGTGAAAGTGGGAAGCTTTGAGTACCTGGTTGTTTAAAACCTAAAGAATAGTATTATTACAAATTGCTTCAGTTACTAGAAACCCAAAGGGTTTCCTTGCCATGTGCCCGTTGGGGGGTCACCCTGCTCATCCAGCGATCCCTCCCTGAGAACCCCCTCCTCCACTGATCCCACCCTCCCCCAAAGGACAGGGTTCCCTCGGAGAAGTCCCAGCCCTGGGTGCACTGTCCTTTCCCAGGAGAGCCGGTCCTCGTTGGATTTCTCTCCAGTGTGGCTTTGAAGGTACTGCCGATTCCTCCCAGTGAACTGTCAGCTGTCACCCCCCTACTCGCCCCACCCCACCCCTGCAAGGCAGGATGTCCTGTGGGCCATGGAGGATACAGAGAAGGGACACTTTAGATATTTATTATTTATATGTTTTAGTCAATGACTAATTAGTAGGTGCTGTTTTTGCAGCTTGTCAATTATGTTATCGTACTAACTGAAGCTGCCTTTATTCACAAAAGGCCCCCTCCTCCAGCCCTTCTTGTTCCCCCAGCCCCTCATGTCTGTCTCCTTCCTGCTTTCTCTATGTATCCATCGACCTACCTATCTCTGTCTGCCTCTGTCTATCTGCCCCCCGTCCTCCATGTCCTCAGTGGGAAGCTAGGGAGTTGGACACCATGAGGGAAATGCTCCAACCAGCAGTGTCCATGGGCTGAAAGTGGGGTGCCCTTGGGAACATCGGTGCCTCGCTTTTCCTCACGCAGGGTGGAGGACCGCCCAGTTAGCCCTCCAGCCTTGGGGGTGTTGGAGTTCCTGAGCCGTCCCCGCCACCGGCCCCCAGCGTGGGGACGCAACAGGCCTGCGACCTGTGGAGGATGACCACAGAGCTTGGGCCGTCTGTGCGTCTCCATTGCCATCCTCCCACACCCAGTCTAACCATGGGCCTCCCTGTGGCCAGAGGACAGAGGGAGAGCAAGCTCCTCCCATGCCCGGGAGCAGAAGAGATCTATTTTAGGGAAAGGGTGGTGGGGGTGGTCAGACAGGCCAGGAGAACCCAGGGGCAGAGACCTGCCATGGCTTTCTCAGAAAGCCCCATGATTGCCACGTGATTCCACAAGCTCGCAGGGAGCCTGGAGGCCCGTGGCACATCCTCTCTCTGCCCCCAGCCTCTGCTTCTGTCCAAGGACTCTTGGAGCCTGGAGAAGCTGCCCAGGAAGCCGGCCTTGCGCCTCCCAGCCAGGCAGCTAGGACTCTGTGCGTCACTCACGGTGGCTATGGGAGCTCTGCCCTGTACATCCCTCGCATGCAGCATGAGCCTGCAGACTCCTCAACGAGGCCCCTCCTGCACCCTGACATTGCTGACTCCTGTTCCATTGGGAACACATGGAGAAATGGCAGAGCTGACTTATTACTCTGGGGACGGTCCCCTCCCATCCCCAGCCCGGTCCTCACTCTCCGCTAACCACCAGGAAATTGGGAAGCTGAGCAGTCACACGGGATGTTCCTCAGCACCTTCTGTTTTTGAACCAGAGAACCACTTTGAAGTTGTTACATTTGGCTTTAAGGGGAAAAGGGAGAGTTTCAAACAAAGCCCAGGGTGATTTGAGCCAAGGTGATGTTTTCCCAGGGGAGAGAGTTTAACTCATTTTTATTGTCTACCTGAGAATGATTTATTAGTTCAAGGCCATTGGTCAGGCAGCCATGAGCTGTGACTGCCTGAGGGTTTCAAAAGCTGAGAACGTGGTCCCCTGGAAATTCTTTTAGAATTTAGAAGAGTGTGACTGAGTTGCTGACCGGATCCCTGGACTTTAGGGGGCTTGAGAGGTGGGATGTGAGTTTGGGGGAGAAGGATGCATCCAATAAGCTGTGATACTTTGTCCAGTTTCCCACTCAGCCCTGTGATGGTCAGGCAGAAGCCACACCCAGGAGGCAGACAACCCCGAGCCCTGCTTCCCGGGCCCAGTGCAAAGCAGTCTGTCTCCAAGGAGGGCGGAGCCGTTCCTAGGACTCTCACATTCTAAGAAGTATTTGTGCTCCTTCCTTTGGAAAAAGACCCTTCTGATCTGACCAGGAGTCACTCTACCTTCATTTGCCATTGTTGAACTTTCAAAGTGCCAGTGAGCTGAGGTTTGAGTCAGTTCCCCGAAAAGGGCAGATGATAGCTGTTCTGGGCACAGGCCAGGATTGGGGGACTATGCTTCCTTCTGGTTCTTCAGTTTGTAGGTGCAGGAGAACCCTGGCTGGAACCTCGATCTCTTTGCCAAGAGGGTCCCCAGGAAAGGAGAGCGGTAGCAGCTGGTGTGGGGGCCTGAGCAAAGACCCCTTTCATAGCCCAGTTCACTGGGGTTGCAGGACCCAAGCTCCCCCCACAGCACAAGGGGGATATACTGGAAACAGCTGTTGGCAAAGGTCTGCCAGGTCAAAGCCACACCCTCGGGCAAGCGTCGCCCGTGGCTATGCAGTCCAGGACACGAGCACAGATGAATGAAGCGGCTGGTGTCAGACAAGAGGGAACGGGTGGGGACTGTGGTCTGCAAGTGTGCACCTGACACAGACAAAAACTGCAGCTGCATCTCCGTTCCAGCCTGAAGCTGCGAGTGAGAATACAGGCATGGTGCAGCAGAATCATCTAATTTGGTAAGAGAAGCCAAAAATCCATATTTTTATAGGAAATCTGATTTTCAAACATTGGCTAGTTTTGTTTTTACCAGAGTGTAGGTAGAAGGTTCGGTCCACAGTTCAGCCTGTGCGCTATGGAGAGGTGTTTCAAAGGAGGTTCGGTGTTGTCCTGGTGGAGGGGGAAAGGCCAGCATTGGGAAGGGGCAAAAATAACAGCTTATGTGGAACTCTGAAGGGAATGAGGGCCTCTTATTAGTCATTCCCATCCCGAAGAAATGGTCCCTCAGAGGAGAAGTGTCCCGTGAGATCTGGCTTGTCGAGTTCTCCTGATCTCAAGACAATTTATACTAAGGGGAAGGTGAAACAGGATTCGCTGACCTCGAGGGCTGCCCCTTGAACATCAAGGAGGTCCACGCTGGCCCAGTCCCCACCTTCCAGAATTCCATCACACCAGGCGGAGATGTCCAGGAGATGGTTCATGGGGAGAGGTTGGCATGTCAAATAGCCCGGCTCACTCCAGATCCCAGGTTTTAGCAACCACCTTGCCATGTGTCCGGAAGCATCTTTGGAAGCCGTGTTCACGGGAGGTCCTCTCTGCTTTTTGCCTCACCTACCTTACTTTGCCCATGGGTCAACCACAGGCGCTACCTCATGTGTCTGCTGACAAGTTTACCTTGAGGGAGGAGGGGGAGGAATAAAGGTGTCCAAAATCTGCTGGAGCTGAATGTATAATCTATGCAAATTCTCTCTGTGTGTCTCTCCTCTCTTCTCTCTGTGTCTCTCTCTCAGAAGTATTATTTTTTTTTAACCTGGCAAACAAGATACTGTACAGACCCCTCTTAAGACTGAGGAGGGCTTCTGCGTGCCACCTGCATCTACCCCTCACGTTGTCGTTGGTTCTGTCCTTGCCAAGCCCCAGGCAGGGAGATGGAAGCCCTCTCTCTTCCCCTTCCCCTTGGCTGGGAATACTCCATCCGCCTCTGCCTACAGACCCCATGGGAAAGCAGGTTCTTTGTCTTGCCACCTCCTAACTCCATCCTCTCCATTCCTCATTTGCCTCCCTTATCCTCTCCTTCCTCCACACCAACTCCCACCCCCAAAAGCCTTAGGTTTCTCTGTTTTTAAATGTGGCCTTAAAATTATTTTTGGAAAGCTGACCACCCTCTCTCCCCCA